GGGCCTTCCTGGGGGTGGGGGGAGAAAGCCGCTCCGAACTCCTGGCCCGCTTGGGCATCCCCGCGGAGGAGATGGACGGACCGAACCGACACCTGGAGGGCCTGTGGGAAGCCCTGGAGGACATCTACCTGTCCAAGGAGGTGGACGCCCCGCGGGAGAAGGTGGAGGCCGTGTCTTGGTCCGTGGCGGCCTTCGGCCCTGAGGGCCCGGTTGGGGATCCCCGTGGAGGAGATGGACGCCCTGGACCGACACCTGGAGGGCCTGTGGGAAGCCCTGGAGGACATCTACCTGTCCAAGGAGGTGGACGCCCCGCGGGAGAAGGTGGAGGCCGTGTCTTGGTCCGTGGCGGCCTTCAAGGGGGCCCTGAGGGCGGCCGGACGGGCCGAGGGTCCCGCCTGGGAGAGGCTGGGCGCCCTGGAGAGATGCGTGGAAGGTCTGCCGCTGGAGGAAATGGCGGCCCTGAATGAGGAGCTGAGGACCCTCACAGAGGTCCTGAGGGAGAAGGCGGAAGCCCCAGAGGACGTGCCCTGGATGGAGGTGGGAGAGGCCCCGGATTGGGGCCAAGCAGAGACCTGGAAGGCGCCCGGCGCAGGTGAGGTCGGGGGTTGCCACTTTCCCATCATGCTGGCATTAGAAGAGCATCGTTTCCCACACCGAGCAGATCTACAGCGCTAGCCTCTTAACGCAGGACGATGTCCTCGTGCCTCTGAGCTGACGCAGAGTGATTTCCGCACAACATCAGCGAAATAGTTGCTGCTCTTCTGCTCCCTGGGGGGAGGGGAGGGGCTGCGGGCATTTGGAAGGGCAGCGAAAGAGTTCTAAATTGGGTCCTAAGTGGCACAAGGTCTAGAACATTTTACCTTTTGATGAGGTCTTTTGAGTTGTTGATCCAATGTGGAGTTTATGTCATTCAGCTTCCGCCTCCGAGACCTTGCCATGGGTTATGTAGTACCACCCATATAGACGGTGCTTGACAGAACTACGAACTGTGTAGCAGCCCCATCTTACGGGGCCTGACCGTCTGCATGTGCACACCAGAGGAAACGGTGGGTCAGGCGGGGTGGGTGAGAGAGGGCGCCATCCTGCCCCCCCGTGTGCTCTGCAGTCGGTCACTTTGTCCGGCCATTTCTGTCGATGGGTCTTTTCTAAATTCTTTCCTTGGGCCAGTTCTGCATTTGGCCTAAAGTAGATCCTGAGATGTACTCTTTTTTTTTTTTGTTAAATCAAAGAATAAAAGCTGTTGCAGGCATTTATTTCTTAAAACTGAGGATGGCTGAGATTGGCCACAAAGTCACTCTGGGTGGTTGTCCAGCGGAAGGTCTCAGGTGGGGAGGGCCGGGCGCGGGCATCCTCTGCCCTCCTTCCTCCTGTTGGGGGTCGTTTTTAAGGTGCCACGGAAGCCCCCCCTAGCAGAAGATTTCTGCCCCTGTGGAATTTCCCAGCCCTTCCTCCTCTGTCCTCTTTCTCTTCTCCCCATAGATCCATACTGTGACCCCACCGTAGAAGAAGGAATGTCCTAGAAGCCTTTAGGCAGTCAGAGGGGTTTGGAGGCAGAGGATTTATCAGTTCCTTTCCCCCCCCCCCCGCCCCAACCTTTGTGAGTTTCCATGGCCGAGTGGGGATTCGAACCCAGGTCTTCTCTGTTCTAGTCCATGGGCAGGCCCAACGACCCAAGGAGAAGCCATTTAGAGGAAAGGATGGGACCTTTTATAGTCCCTCTCCCACACCTGGGTTAAGAAACAAGCAATGGCCGGTGTTCACTTGTTTTTTTTAAAGGATTTTTCTTAAAAAAAAATTTAAGGTAATCCTGAGCATGTATGAGGGTTCACAGAGGTGCACATTTCTTTTGAGGCTCTTGGAAGAACTTGTAGCCATTTTAGTTTGTTGTTTAGATTGCTGTTTGTTTTGTTTTGTCCGTGTGTTTTTAAGACTCCTGTTAACTCTTTCGGCCCTTCCTGATGATTTTCGCCTCCAAGCCGAGCGTGCAATCCATTCTGTTCCCAGCGGTTGTTTCAAGCTGTGCATCAGCTTGTTCACAAAGTGCTTGCCGGCATCTGAATTTGACCCTTTGGATAACCCAAAAAAAGCGCCAATATTTCTGCTGCCTGTTCTGCTGTGTGCCTCCGTCCATCCACTGTTACGAGAAGATAGTTGTGTCCCATTGCTGGTGGCATCAGCCTTGATTTCGAGGCTTTTAGGAAACTTGAGCTCCTCTCCGGCAGAGGATCGGACACCGACACACCCGTTGTGATCCAGCACGTTTCGCTGTGAAAGCAAAATATGCCAAACCAGACAGCTGGGGCTCTTCTCGTAAAGACTGAGAAGGCTCTGAGGATACATTACATATCTCCTGTTTACAAATCGGGTGTCAAAATACCCCCCCAAACCGGGAAGGGCCCCAGCCAGTAACAAGTTGGGATCCTTGCCCCAACTGGCCCCTGGCCTGTGACCCAGAGACCTGTGGGTTCTCTCCCCCCCATATGTATTCTTCATCTCTCTGTTGGGGTTTTTCCTCCTGAGGACTGAGAGGATCTGTTGTGTTGTCAAGGGACCGCTTCTTGCCTCCCCTGGAACATCGGGTAACCTCCCAATGTCTGTGGGAGTCAAGGCCAGCTCACCTTCACGCTTATCTTTGGCGTGAGGAATCTTACCTTCTCGATGTGTGCTATGTTGCTAGATGTTTCACTACTTTTTCTTATTCTTTTTGGAGGTACTATTAAAACGGATGTGTGGCCCATTTCCTCCCTCCCATTGGAGGGTTTTAAAAAGTTTTAATTTTATTTATTTATTTAATTTATATGCCACCCACACTACCCAAAGGTCTCTGGGCGGCTTAAAACATTTAAAATACAATAAAATTTGTGTATTTAGTCGTTTAGTCGTGTCCGACTCTTCGTGACCCCATGGACCAGAGCACGCCAGGCCCTCCTGTCTTCTACTGCCTCCCGGAGTTGTGTCAGGTTCATGTTGGTTGCTTCGCAGACACTGTCCAGCCATCTCAACCTCGGTGGTCCCCTTCTCCTCTTACCTTCACACTTTCCCAACATCAAGGTTTTTTCCAAGGACTCTTTTCTTCTCATGAGATGACCAAAGTACTGGAGCCTCAGCTTCAGGATCTGTCCTTCAAGTGAGCATTCAGGGTTGATTTCCTTTAGAACTGATAGGTTTGTTCTCCTTGCAGTCCAGGGGATTCTCAAGAGCCTCCTCCAGCACCACAATTCAAAGGCATCAATTCTTCGGCGGTCTGCTTTCTTTATGGTCCAGCTCTCACTTCCATACATCACGACAGGAAAAACCATA